CTTTTTTTTTTTTTTTTTTTGAGCATTACATGAACTTACCTCGATGGATTAGAGTCTACTTGGTATTATAAGATTACATGTCACCCACTGCCGGAGGAGGTTTTGTTGTGCTAAGTGGGGAGCATGTCTTGCGTTATTCCAGCTTGGAAGAACGTGGGAATAGGAAGCTTGTTGGGTGACATTATGGGAGCTTCCAACTAGCGCTCAATAGTAGGCACATGTGGAGTTACAAAGAGACTTGAGAGGTTACTTATAGAGAGCAACGACCCCCCATACATGCTAGATCCATCCTAGAGCCCAAGATAGGTAAGAGCACCTTGAACTATGCGCAGAAAACACGATGACTAGATGGACCTTGGAAAGTAGAGACAACGAGCTAATGCACCCTAAAATCCAACTTAACTAAGATGAGTGACATACATCCTTAAAATATAAGTAGAGTAGATGATTATAAGAGTCATAGGGCTATATTGAACACAATGTCATGGAATTGGCTGACTCTTGGAATCTAATTAAACACATAGCCTTAAGTAAACACGGAATACGAGACGCTTCAACGAGAGCCTACAAGTAGGTTGCATATTGAATATTTTTTATACTCACTTTTGCTACTCTTTGTTTTTCAAATGAGTTGTGGATGAATGGTTGATGACAAGAGTGTGCATGTAATGCTATAAAAAAAAGAAAAAAAAAAGTCTATCAAGGTCCAAGGGGCAAAATGGGCATTTTACCCCTCAGCACATTATACGGGTCTTGAGGGTTCTCCACAGAATACCTGCAAAAGAGAGAAGTGTGAGAAAGAAGGTTGAGAGAAAGTTTAGAGAGAAAAGTGAAACGCCGGAGTCTTCGTCTGAGAATCACCGACGAAATTCATTCCCTACTAAGACCCTACCCTCTGTAGTTCTTGTTGGAGAGAGAAGAAAGACTCGTGTTGTTGAGATTTCCTCCTCTTTCGTCAAGATCCGAAAGAAAACCCGTAAGGTAAGATCTCAAACGATACTCTTCAGATATGAGATCTTTGTTTGGGAATAGAGTGTTTAAGTTTACTTCCTTCATCTAGGGAAGATCCGCCACTGATTTTCTGAGGAAATCGGACGAAACGTCGAGATATGAGAATCTTTCCAAGAACGGTAAGGATGTTACCGGACCTCTTTCTGACGCTCATAACTCGTCATATGATTAAGTAAAAATCAAGAAAAAAATATTGGCACGTATGTTGATGTATGATCTAAAACTTTGTTGAAGAAGTCATTACGTTTTGGATTAAGAATCGAGAGATAGAAAAATGAGAAGAATGTCGGAAAACTAATCGAAAATCTTGTTTTATGCTAGGAGGAGAGAGAAGCCGACAGTGTGCCACGTGTCAACCGGCTAGAGGACCACGTGCACCAACCACCTCCAGACATGCGTCGAACGCTGCCTCGAAAAACGTAGCTCCAGCCTTCCTACGACACGTGTCCCCAACAACGCAACCCGACCCGCGTCCCTCGACTGACCCGGTACCCGCGCGGTGAAACGAACCAAACTGACGACCCGCGATCCACCGAACCACTGTTTCCAAACCGAACCGATGACCCGCGACTGCAGAAAATCTTGGGCGCATGACACTCACGCGTGGAACCTGCGAGTGATTGCACCCCGACGCGTGGCTGGCGCGTGTAAGCCCATTTTCGACCCGTTCGACTTCTATTTTCCTCCCGATTTCAATCCTAACTCCATTTTATATGAAATAGCACCTAATTGAGGAAAAATCACTACCTTTTGATATGCCAATTGTATAGAAACGCTGCGTTAGGGCACGTATCATCCAGGTAAGTCACCACACAGAATTTTAAAAAGTAATACTTGTAGGAGTCGCTTGGGATGCATGCATGCTAGTTTAATTATCTTAGGTCATAGCTTTCTGTGATTGATCGTAGGTAATTGATTATTAAAAGTAAGATGTATGGTGTGAATTATTATGAGAATTACCTGAGTCCTGTTGTTATGCTGTAAGTTTTCGCTCATTATGAATATGTATATTTCATGCTGAAAGGAGGATGGGAATTTGTGAAATCTGCGCTCAGGAGTTGATGGATGTTATCGCCCCATTGAGCATGTATATTTATTTTGCATGAATTTTGTATGGTGATGTTGGATGACAGTAGTTGCCTATTCAGTTAATTTCCGTGACCCACAGGTATAATAAAGTCTAGGGATTTGTAGTTAGAACGACAAGTCACCAAGGAATAGACTTAACCTTTCCCTAGTAGTCTAACAGACCATCACGGCATACGAACCACCTCTAGAGTATCCTTAGGCTACTTGTATGTGGATGGTGTTATAGCTTCGTGGGGGACCAGTGGGTTTCTGATTAGGACTCGACTGCTCGATAGCTGTTTAGTATGGAAAACGGGATACCCACGTCGTAATTGACCGTTTAGCTGGATGGAATAGGGGAGTTAGCCCTCCGAAATACAGGGGGATTACCATGGGACTAGGGGATTGCAGCTCACTTCCTAGGCAAGACACCAGGTAATCTCATACCTATGCCGAGGTAGCCACTCGTAAGCCACCAGTCCAATACAGGTTAGCATAAAATGAACTCTAGGGGTATAAATAGAAGACTATGAACCAAAGAAGCCCGAAGGGACAAGTCCCAAGGGGGAAGCCCTAATGAGCTAAGACTAGAACCAAATGTTCTAGAGCCAAAGGAAAGTCCGTGGTTGTTTGTTAAGTTTAGGGTGCGACGAGAGCCTACAAGTAGGTGACTTACTGAGTATAATTTTATACTTATTCTCGCTATATCTTTCTTTTTCAGGTACGTGAGGTGTCGGGTTAAGAGAGGGCGCGTTGATCGATCTGGATTGTCACAGAGAAAGCGTGTCCCAGGGCGTGAGTCTAGTTTTACTGAATAGTACAATTTGTCTTTCATGTTTCTTTCCTTGTCTATAACTAGTCATAGTCACATAAATCCTTTTTGTATCGAAACGCTTTCCTTGCAAAATAAACAATACGTTTTTTTTTTAAATAATGTTTTCCTTGAATTTCTCACTTACACACTACACGTCATGGTCATTGTTATCATGATTTGAGGTTATTTATTTTGGATCGTGACAAATTTAGTATCAAAGCACCAGGACATAGGTCTTGTAGACATTTATGTTAGAGAGTCGTATCCTTTGTGACACGTCCATCAATCACGTGTCACTCGCGACCAGACAGTCTCACGAATTTGAATTGCGAAATTAAGAGTTAAGATGTTAAGTAGAGAATTTTTCGTGACTGTTCTCTTGTGTTGTGCTGCACATTTCCTAAAGGTTGAACCTTGAATGAATTGTAACCGAAAATTTTCTATTGTGGTAGCTAAATGGCACCAAAGAGGTGTAGAACCTATCTCGGGCCTGGACCTAGAAGTGGAAGAAGAAGAGTTACTTAGGACACTGATGTCCCGTCACCTAAGGCGGAACAACATGTACCTGAACCTCAAGAGGAGGTTGATGAAATGCCCCAATGGTTTGAGTGTCCTATCCCACGAGCACCAAGGTCAGGAATGAGTCAAAAGAAAGCAGTGACTCAATAATTACCTAACGCAGACTCTACTGCTCCTCCTGAAGCGGTCCCACCAGTGCCCACCAATAATGTAGAGGTTCCACCTAGCGCCAACAACTAACCTCACTACAGATGTAGTACAGACATTTATGTTAACCCCTATGGAAAATCAGGCTCAAATGACTCAAATGATGCAAACACTGGTCACTAACTAGGCTACAATGCAACAGGCAATACAACAGGCAACGCTGCAACATACAACATTACAACAGGCAACGCTGCAACATACAACATTACAACAGACAGCATTGCTAGGGACCAGAGACTCTGGGACTATGACTGTGGAGGCTCGTTATCTTAGAGACTTCCACAAAATCCGTCTTCTTTTGAAGGTGGCAAAATAGATCCCATTGCAGCAGAACATTGGCTTTAGGCTATGGAAACAGCCTTCTTTTACATGAACTGTCCGCTGGAATATCAAGTACATTGCGGAACGTATATGTTGAAAGGAGAGGCTCATCTCTGGTGGAAGGGTGCTCAAAAAATGATTGCACCGCTTGGGGAGCCTATTTCTTGGTGTTAGTTCAAAGAGGCTTACCTCTGCAAATACTATCCAGTCGCTGCTAGTATGAAGCTGCAGGCAGCATTTCATGAACTCAAATAGGGTGACCTATCTGTGGAGGATTATGATCTAGAATTCAACAGATTGGCAAGATTCTCTTATATATGTCAGTATGGAAGAGCTTAAGGTTGAACGATTTATCGCCGGTCTAAGGGAGAACATTAGAGGTTACGTGGCCTCTCAGGTGATAAGAATCACGGTGTTCTAAATAGACCTATTGCCAAGAAGATTAAAAAAATGTCGATGCCAAGAAGATTCGAAAAAAATTTCGATTAAGAAATGTCAACAACAGAATTCGAACCTACGACCTATCTGTGGAGGATTATGATTTGGAATTCAACAGATTGGCAAGATTCTCTTATATATGTCAGTACGGAAGAGCTTAAGGTTGAACGCTTTATCGCCGGTCTAAGGGAGAACATTAACGTGGCCTCTCAGGTGATAAGAATCACGGTGTTCCAAATGGACCTATTGCCAAAAAGATTAAAAAAATGTCAATGCCAAGAAGATTCAAGCCGGTACGGAAGAGCTTAAGGTTGAACGCTTTATCGCCGGTCTAAGGGAGAACATTAACGTGGCCTCTCAGATGATAAGAATCACGGTGTTCCAAATGGACCTATTGCCAAAAAGATTCAAAAAATGTCAATGCCAAGAAGATTCAAGCCGGTCTAAAGGAGAAATAGAGGTTACGTGGCCTCTCAGGTGATAAGAATCACGGTGTTCCAAATGGACCTATTGCTAAGAAGATTCAAAATGTCGATGCCAAGAAGATTAAAAAAAATGTCAATTCAAAAATGTCAACAACAAAATTCGAACCTACGCGCAGAGAGCTCAATTGATTTCGAACCTATTGCAAGCCATTCAAGCACATCAACATTTATTGAAAGATTTTATTGTTTTTTTGTTTTCATTCTGCAATGGTCAAATGGTCAAAATTGACTTCGTCTTTTATGAAGATTAAAAGGGGATCGGGATTGAATCTCGGCCACAAACGTCTTTTGTCGGAAGACTATAAATACCCACAATATATTATGTAAAAATCAGATTCGTGAATAAATGTAATTCAGATCTCAAATTGAGACGTTTTCCTTAGAAATCCGAGCATCATATTTGCCATTTCTAAGTTTCAAGCAATTCTTGTGGTAGAATTGCACCCGAGCCATTCAATCAAGCCTTGATCAAGTTAGATTGTGGAGTGACTCAATTTAGAACAAAATTTCCAAATCTTGCTTTTAGATCTTCGATTGTAAAAGGTAATCTAATTCTAGCCTTATCTCTTGGTTGATCCAAATTTCGTATAAGGATGTGTTAATTACTTTGATTCAAGGGTTTTTGCTTCAACAAAAGCTTGGATCGTTGGGCTGAGGATTAGGGTTGCCTTATTATCAGGCATCTACAGATTATACAGAAGCCCTTAAAATGGCGACCCTCATTGATGCGCCTCATACTGACAAATTACAGTCAGGGTCAGCCCAGAAATCCCATACCGCAGTTCAGGGGAAACAGATAAATCGGAACTATCCTAGGATTGGTAGACCACCTCGTGGTGGCATTGCCAATCGCGAAAGAGCCTCAGTACAGAACAGAAATGAATGTCCAAAGTGTCAGCGCCCTCACCTGGGAGAATGTCGCCTGGATACTAATGTATGTTATAAATGTGGCCAAATGGGACACTTTGCAGCAAACTGTCCTCAAAAGAGAGATGTTAACACTAACCGACCTGCAATAAGGAATCAAAGGGGCTGGGGTGCTCAACAGCAGGAGTGAGCTATAGCCCATGCAACCACAGGCAGGCAGGCCGACGCACCTGACGTAGTCGTTATAGGTACACTAACCGTCTTTGGCCGTATGGCTTTTGTACTATTTGATTAAGATTCTACACACTCGTTTATGTCTGAGAAATTCGTTGACTTAGCGCACCTAGAAAAAGAACCTTTAGAGACCATTCTATCAGTATCCACCCCTGCTCACGAGTTATTAATGGCTACTCATAGAGTTAAGGGGGGTAATGTGATAGTGTCGGGACGTGTCATAAAAGCTGTGTTAATAGTACTAAGCATGCAAGACTTCAATGTCATTTTGGGTATGGATTGGCTAGGCGAGAATCATGCTCTAATAGATTGTGAAACTCAAATAGTTACTCTCAGACTCTCGTCAGGGGATAGTTTTACATATGAGGGAGCCACTTCCAAAAGAACTCTAAGCGTCGTAACTGCACTAAAGGCTAGAAAGATGATCTGCGGTGGTGCAAGCGCATTTTTAGTCAGTGTGACCCTAGACTGTAGTAATGAACAGACAGTCTCATCAGTACACATTGTCAGGGAATTCACTGATGTTTTTCCTAAAGATTTGCCAAGTTTGCCCCCTGTTAGGGAAGTTGACTTCGGGATCAACCTAGAATTAGGAACTGCGCCGATCTCTAAGGCACCCTACAGAATGGCACGTGCAGAACTCAGGGAATTGGAGGAACAGTTACAGGAGCTATTGGATAAGGGTTTCATATGACCCAGTGTATCACCCTGGGGAGCCCCTATTCTATTTGTCAAGAAGAAGGATGAATCCTTGCGCATGTGTATAGACTATAGAGAACTGAATAATTTCATCATAAAGAATAAGTACCCCTCCCGAGGATCGACGACTTGTTTGATCAATTGCAGGGAGCAACGGTATTCTCCAAAATTGACTTGAGGTCAGGATATCATCAATTGAGAATAAGAGAATAAGATATACACAAAACAGCTTTCAGAAGTCACTATGGACATTATGAATTCCTTGTCATGTCCTTTGGACTTATCAATGCACCAGCCGTCTTCATGGAGCTAATGAACAGGGTGTTTAAGGAATTCTTAGACACTTTTGTTATAGTGTTTATTGATGACATTTTGGTGTACTCTAAGTCAGAAGCAGAGCACGAAGGTCATTTGAGAAAAGTTCTGACCGTACTGAGAACACAGCGACTATACGCCAAGTTTTCCAAGTGTGAGTTTTGGCTGTCTGAGGTAGCGTTTTTGGGTCATGTGGTGTCAAGCAGAGGAATCACAGTGGACCCAGCTAAGATAGAGGCAGTGATGAAGTGGCCAAGACCGACCACAGTCACTGAAGTACGGAGTTTTCTAGGACTAGTTGGTTATTACAGAAGGTTTGTCCAGGATTTCTCCAAAATATCTTCGGTGCTAACTCAGTTAACTAAGAAGGGCAAACCCTTTGTGTGGACATCAGCTTGCGAACCGAGCTTTCAGGAACTCAAGGAGAGGTTGGTGACAGCACCAGTCCTCACAGTTCCAGATGGTTCAAGGAATCTAGTGGTGTACAGCGACACATCTGGAAAAGGTCTAGGATGCGTGCTCATGCAAAAGGGTAAAGTGATAGCTTGCGCTTCTAGACAACTGAAGGATTATGAACGAAATTATCCCACGCATGAACTCGAGTTAGCAGTAGTGGTGTTTGCACTGAAAATGTGGCGACATTATCTGTATGGAGAGAAAATCCAAGTATTCACTGATCACAAGAGTCTCAAGTACCTATTTACGTAGAAGGAGCTTAACATGAGATAGAGGAGATGGTTGGAACTGGTTAAGGATTATGACATCGAGATCCTGTATCATCCAGGCAAGGTCAATATCGTGGCGAATGCATTGAGCAGGAAGGCAGTTCACACATCCGCGATGATCACTAAGCAAGAAAGAATACAGGATGAGATGAAAAGGGCTGGAATCGATGTTGTAATTAGAGGTAGTACTGCTCAGATAACACAAATGACCATTCAACCGACCTTGCGAAAACAAATTATTGACGCTTAGAGGTGTGATGAACACCTTGAAAAACTGTGGAATCAGACAAAGACAGAAAGACCAGTGGGGTACTTAATCTCTTCAGACGGGGGCCTGCTGTGGAAAAACCGCCTGTGTGTTCCCCGTGACAAGAAAATTCTGAAGGATATTATGACGGAAGCTCACGATACATCTTACACGTTCCACCTTGGAAGTACAAAGATGTATCAGGATCTTAAGGGATGTTATTGGTGACCAAAGATGAAGAAGGAGATAGCAGATTTCTTAAGCCAATGCTTGACCTGTGAGCAGGTGAAGGCCCCGAGATAGCGCCCAGCAGGATTGCTACAACCCTTAAAGGTCCCTCAGTGGAAATGGGAAGTAGTTTGCATGGATTTTATCTCGGGCTTGCCCAAAACGAAGCAGAGCTTCAACGTAATTTGGGTAGATGTTGACAGGTTTACCAAAATGGCCCACTTCATCCCAGGCAAAAACACTTATCGTGTGGATCAGTGGGCTCAATTGCATATTAGAGAGATAGTACACTTGCATGGCGTATCGGTGTCTATAGTATCTGATCGGGACACCAGGTTCACCTCTCAGTTTTGGAAAAGCCTCCAAAAAGCATTGGGGACTCGGCTAAGGTTTAGTAGAGCATTTCGCTGGGTGCGAGCCTGTGTCGTGGATTTCGCTGGGTGCTGGGACGAACATCTGCCACTGATAGAGTTTGCTTACAATAATAGTTATCAAGTGACCATCCAGATGACCCTTTTTGAGGCAGCGTATGGACGTAGGTGTCGAACACTGGTATTTTGGGAAGAAGTAGGCACACAGCAACTACTGGGACCAGAGTTGGTTCAGGTCACCAATGCAACGGTGCAGAAAATTAAGTAAAGAATCCTCACTGCACAGAGCCAACAGAAGAGCTACACAAATTTGCGTAGAAGGGACCTCGAGTTCAAGGTGGGTGACCATGTGTTCTTGAAGGTAGCCCCTATGAGAGGGGTGATGAGGTTTGGAAAGAAGGGAAAGTTAAGCCCAAGGTTTATAGGCCCTTTTGAGATTCTAGAGAGAGTTGGGGTCGTGGCTTATAAAATTGCTCTACCACCAAACCTTGCCGCTGTTCACAACGTGTTCCACGTGTCTATGCTACGAAAGTACACCCCAGACCCTACTCATGTGATTGAACACGAAACCCTTCCTCTTCGGGAAGATCTGTCCTACGAGGAAAGACCCAGCAAAATTCTGGCTCGAGACACTAGGCGACTGCACAACAAAGTTATCCCCTTGGTGAAAGTCGCATGGGGTAGCCATCGACACGAGGAGGCAACCTGGGAACAAGAAGATGATGTAAGGAGAGCCTATCCCAAACTCTTCCAAGAGATACCAACTTTCGGGGACGAAAGTTTCTAAGGAGGGGAGAGTTTGTAATGCTATAAAAAAGAGAAAAAAAATCTGTCAAAAGTCCAAGGGGCAAAATGGGCATTTTACCCCTCAGCTCATTATAGGGGTCTTGATCTCCACAGCATACTTGCAAAAGAGAGAAGTGTGAGAAAGAAGGTTGAGAGAAAGTTTGAGAGAGAAAAGTGAATCGCCGGAGTCTTTATCGGAGAATCACCGACGAAATTCATTCTCTACTAAGACCTACACTCTGGAGTTCTTCTTGGAGAGAAGAAAGACTCGTGTTGTTGAGATTTCCTCCTCTTTAATCAAGATACGAAAGAAAACTCACAAGGTAAGATCTCGAACGATACTCTTCAAATCTGAGATCGTTGTTTGGGAATAGAGTGTTAAAGTTTACTACCTTCATCTAGGGAAGATCCGCCATTGATTTTGTGAGGAAATCGGACGAAGCGTCGAGATCTGAGAATCTTTCCAAGAACGGTAAGGATGTTACTGGATCTCTTTTTGACGCTCATAACTCGTCGTATGATTAAGTAAAAATCAAGAAAAAAATATTGGCACGTAGGTTGAAGTATGATCTAAAACATTGTTGAAGAAGTCATTACGATTTGGATTAAGAATCGAGAGATAGAAAAATGAGAAGAACATTGGAAAACTAATCGAAAATCTTGTTTTATGCTAGAAGGAGAGAGAAGTCGACAGCGTGCCACGTGTCAACCGGCTAGAGGACCACGTGCACCAACCACCTTTGGACACGCGTCGAACGCCGCCTGGGAAAACGCGGCTTCAACCTTCCTGCGACACGCGTACTCGGCAACGCAACCGACCCGCGTCTCTCGGCTAACCCATTACCCGTGCAGCAAAACAAACCAAACCGACGACTCGCGATCCACTCAAACCACTATTTCCGAATCAAACCGACGACCTGCGATGGTAGAAAATCTTGGGCCCGGCGCGTGGCTGGTGCGTGGAAGCGCGTGTAAGCCCATTTTCGACCCATTCGACTTTTGATTTTCCTATTTTCCTCCCAATTCCAATCCTAACTCCATTTTATATGAAATAACATCTAATTGAGGAAAAATCACTACCTTACACCAATTGTGTGGAAACGCTACGTTAGGGCACACATCATCCAAGTAAGTCACCACACAGAATTTTAGGAAGTAATACTTGTAGGAGTCGTTTGGAATGCATGCATGATAGTTTAATTATCTTAGGTCATTGCTTTCCGTTATTGATCGTAGGTAATTGATTATTAAAAGTAAGATGTATGGTGTGAATTATTATGAGAATTACCTGAGTACTGCTATTATACTGTAAGTTTCCGCTCATTATGAATATGTATATTTCATGCTGAAAAGAGGATGGGAATTTGTGAAATCTGCGCTCCGAAGTTGATGGATGTTATCGCCCCGTTGAGCATGTATGTTTATTTTGCATGAATTTTGTATGATGATGTTGGATGATAGTAGTTGCATATTCAGTTAATTTTCAGACCCACAAGTATAATAAAGTCTCGGGATTTGTGTTTAGAACGACAAGTTACCGAGGAATAGACTTAACATTTCCCTAGTAGTCTAACATACCATCACGGCATACGAACCACCTCTAGAGTACCCTTAGGCTACTTGTGTGTGGATGGTGTTAGAGCTTCGTGGGGGACCAGCTGGTTCCTGATCAGGACTCGACTGCTCGATAGCCGTTTAGTATGGGGAACGAGATACCCACGTCGTAATTGACCGTTTAGCTAGATGGAATAGGGGAGGTAGCCCTCCCAAATACAGGGGATTACCATGGGGACTAGGGGGTTGCAGCTCACTTCCTAGGCAAGACACCAGGTAATCTCATACCCATGCCGAGGTAGCCACTTGCAAGCCACTAGTCCAATACAGGTTAGCATAAAAGGAACTCTAGGGGTATAAATAGACAGACTATGAACCAAAGAAGCCCGAAGGGGGAAGCCCTAATGAGATAAGACCATAACCAAATGTTCTAGAGCAAAAGGAAAGTTCGTGGTTGTTTGTTAAGTTTAGGGTGCGACGAGAGCCTACAAGTAGGTGGCTTACTGAGTATAATTTTATACTCATTCTCGCTATACTTTTCTTTTTCAGGTACGTGAGGCGTCGGGTCAAGAGAGGGCGCGTTGATCGATGTGGGTTGTCACAGAGGAAGCGTGTCTCGGGGCGTCAGTCTAGTTTTACTGAATAGTACACTTTGTCTTTCATGTTTCTTTCCTTGTCTATAACTAGTCACATAAATCCTTTTTTTATCGAAACGCTTTCCTTGCGAAATAAACAATACGTTTTTTTTTTAATAATGTTTTCTTTGATTTTCTCGCGTACACACTACACGTCATAGTCATTGTTAGTCACGACTTGAGGTTATTTATTTTGGGTCGTGACAGTGCAGGAGTTGTGTCGTTGCAAAAGAACCATTAGATTTGAGTCATTGTCTCTATTTTATATTCTAATATTGAAATTATTTATAATCATTTGTACAGACGCATTTACTAACCGGCTATGCATTTTAAATTCTTAATGTATATTTCTATGCTTTCTAATGTTTGAATTACTCCTTTGAGTCACCGGATTTATGCTATTGTTGATTACTATCTCATTGTTTGCTACACTCTATCTTTCAAGATCTCTCTCCTTTGGTATCTAATAGGCTGCTAAACTTTTAATTTTATCTTTCAAGATCTCTCTTTTAGTATCTCATAGGCTCTTAACTTTTAACGTTCAACTTTTGTGCCGTTACACTGGATATCAACAAATTTATCGGACATAAAATAAATGTAAAATCTTTAAGATATTAATTTGAACTAAACACATGCAAGACTTTGAATGTAGAAATGGGCACGAATTATTTGACCCCACCCTTGATTTTGGGCGGATCGTCTATTTTTTACAATGGACACCAACCTTTCAAACCTCCCGCTGTTCGCATCCACTCGTACGGCAGTCTCGCCAATCAGAAAAACAACTTACGGCCCCTCCCCCACCTCGCTCTGATCAACAATGGCGATCACCCTGAACTTGGGGTACCACGCCGGTATTTCAGCATAACCCAGATCTGAGAACAAACTAGACACACATTGAAGATCAACCCTATACTTCACAAACCACCCGCAACGATCATCTTCCATCTCGAACACAATCAATTCCACATCTTGATCAACCCTACCAATCCAATAAAGATGCTCGCAACAGTTTCCAAGGTACTCTTCTATATTGGAAGCACAAGGTACTGGCATTTCATGGTGTTTCTCTTCGCTCATATCCAAGTAAACGATGTTTCCCCAACCGGTTAGCCAATGAACCGCTCCGTTCCAATACACTCCAGGTTCGTATTGAAAGCTGAATGAAAATGGGAACGCAACCTTGCACCAGGACCTCCAGGAGCCAGAATCATGCGAGTAAATCTTGATTTGGAAGTTTTCGGAATCTAATCTTCGAACGCAAACGACTTTGTAATTTGATGATCGTATTGGATCGTATGCTAAACTAGGGCCAATGGTTACTACTTTGTGTTTTGGACATCTGAAGCCTTGGGAACGTTGTGTATTGCTTCGTCGTTGGATTGTAAACATAATAAGTGTTCTTCCGATACGATCTGCCGTTGCTGCAACGCAACAACAAGCCGTTACAGGATTGCAGGATTTCAATTCTACGCTTCGGCACAGAAGGTTCAAGAGATTCAAACGGCACCTGAGGCGGATTTGGGCGCAGAACGACGAAATCAAATCCGGGGGAAACAGAAAACGTGTAAGGACGGGACAAGAAGATGCCTGAAGGAGTGGGCGGATAGAAAGTGATTCGACGGTGAGAGAAATCGGGATCGGAAATTAGGGAGAACCAACGTTTTGAAACGGATTTGAATCGTAGAAGTGATGGGATGGGTAAGCGGACAAGGATCTCGACTAAAAGATCGTCGTTATTGGCGAGTGATTCGGCGGCGGAGGAGGAGGAGAACTGAGTTTTGATTCTGAGTGCATCGGGGCGGAGCATTTTGAGATGAGAATCGGAAGGATCTGGGCAGGAAAGTTCTGGAGTTTGACGAGATGATTGCTGGGGATTGGATGAAGATGGCAGAGGAAGCTATGAGACCACCCTTTCGATCCTCATTAAGTAAGTTTCCAACTTCCTTCTCGACTAAGTAAGCTTCGAACTTCCCTCTGTTGTTTTATGGAACAATGCATATAATGGCCACGTTTTTTCCCTCCGTTCTTTTCTCTTCAAAAGGAGAAAATTGTGGGTAACCCTTCTGCTTTTCTTGTTTAAAGCTGAAGGAGCAGGGGCAAGAGATTTTGGGAGTGGATTGACGGTGCTGAGAAGGAGACAGTTCGGGAAGGACAAGGCTTGACCCCACCCCCACTGGAAAAAGATGCTTGCAGCAGCTTGTGGGGGCTGTGTACGATACTCAGGCCACTTGCTGAGCCTTCAACGAGTAAGTTTCCTTCAATACTCACGATGAACTGTTCATTTTCTGCCATCCCCTGTGGTTTTCGATTCAACCAGTAAGTTTTCTTCAATACTCATGATCAACTGTTCATTTTCTGCCATCCCCTGTGGTTTTCGATTCAACCAGTAAGTTTTCTTCAATACTCATGATCAACTGTTCATTTTCTGCCATCCCCTGTGGTTTTCGATTCAACCAGTAAGTTTTCTTCAATACTCATGATCAACTGTTCATTTTCTGCCATCCCTTGTGGTTTTCGATTAGTCTTATGGTTTGGCCTTTGAGTAAACAGCTTGTTGGCCCGTTGAACAAGTATGTGAGCTTTCATCATTCATGCAAATAGACTTAACTCCAGAGTTGCATGACGAAATTTAATATATTAAAGCCCTGACTTGTTTATGTCTTAGTTTGCCTATAATGTTTACTCTTCTTGGTACGTTGGATGATGCACCATCCTCTTCTGTCACATCATGTCACATGTTTGTCTCGATCCTTACGTGGCTAAATGGACGCGACTTAATGGTCGCCACCTTGTAAGTGACACAATGCATAATGACCATTTTTTTTTTTTTTTTAAAGTGAAAAGACTTAGAAACAGTAATTTATCCTCCTTTTATTTACCATTAAATGAGTTACAAGCATAAACTAGGCTTAAAAGATACATCAACTGGTTCCATAGTAACTGGTGGGATGGAGACGAACACCCAACTAAACACAGGCAAGACTTTCAATGTACAAAAGGGCCTCAATTGTTCGAAACCCGTGGGGAGTGTTCGAAGTTCGTCCAATATTTATGAACCCATCCATTTCAAAGCTCCCACTCTTGGCATTCACTCTGAAGATATTTCGACACAGAAAAACAACACATGCCTCCTCCTCACCCACCTCGCTCAGATCAACAATGGCGAGCACTGTGAACTTGGAGTACAACGCCTCCATTCCACCCGAACCCGGATTTTGGTACCAACTCCACACCCATTTAAGATCAACCCTATACTTCACAAACCACCCACAATGATCATCTTCCATCTCGTACACAATCAATTCCATAGGTTCAAGTTCAACACCTTCAACCCAATAAAGATGCCCACAGCAACCTCCAAAATACTTCACAATTTTGTGTCCCCGATCATTGGAAGCTTCAGGTACTGGAAATTCATGGAGTTTCTCTTCGCTCAAATCGAAGTATATTCCCTTTCCACAATACCGCACCCAATGAACAGCTCCATTCCAATACACTCCACGGTCGATTTCCTTGATGAATCGATCTGGCGAATGAACCCTCGCAGCAGGTCCTCCAGAACCCAGAATCAGACGAGTAAATCTTGATTTCGTAGTTTGTGGAATCCACAACTCGAAAGCAAACGACTTCGTAATTTGGTGATCGTAAAGGATCGTATGCTAAATTAAGATCAAGGGTTACTCTGTTTTTTTATTATCTGAAGCATGGGAAGCTTTTTGTACTGCTTCGTCGTTGGATTGTATACGTAATAAACATTCTTCTCGTATGATCTGCCCAAGAACAAGATAACTGAAGGAGGAGTGAGTGACTGAAAAGCGGATCGACGATGACAGATGTTAGACGAACACGACTCTCCACAATGGTATGATATTGTCCACTTTGAGCATAAGCTCTAGTGGTTTTACTTTGGGCTTCCCAAAAGGGCTCATACCATGGAGAGTGTATTCTTAGATTATAAACCAACATGGGACACTTTCATCCAACAACAGAAATTGAGATCGAAAATTAGGGAGAGCCATCGTTTTGAGACGGATTTGAATCGTAGAAGTGATCTGATGGGTAAGCGGAGAAAGATCACGAGTAAGAGATCGTCGTTATCGACGAGTGATTTGGCGGCGGCGGTGGTGGACCGGGTGATGATTTTTGGTGGTTTTCGGCGGAGCATTTTGAGATGAGAATCGGAAGGATCGGCGGAGCACTCTTAATCAGTTTTAAAGAGTCAATCTCAATCAAAATGGATACGTCTATATTAAAAGATATTTTTTAAATAAAAAAAAAAACTCATAAAATTAAATAAATAAATTATTATTATGATGGGAGAAAATATCCATCAAAATCAAGATTGTCATGGTTCAGATATTTTATTGCTCAATATATCTCTAGCTTCAATTTTATTTATAATTTAATGAAATTATACAAATATTTTTATTTACATAATAATAAGTTTGTTTTATTTTATTTATTTCGATTGTTTGAAATTTTTTTACTTGAGCCGGAATTTAAACATCTAATTTACTTATTTTTCTAGTTAAAAATATATATTCTAATACTAAATTGAAATTGAAAATTTTAAAATTAAAACTAAGCCTATCTAATTAAATTTATAATTTAATATTTTAACCAACTATATTTATCTATATGCTTAAAAATATACATGACAGGCTCCAATTTGGGGGATTTGACAGTAATTTTTTTTTTTTTTTTTTTTTTTTT